TAAAAGCCTGTTATTACTTTCCCTACGTTGTTGAACCATACGGAATTTCTGATTAGTACATACAAATCTCTGTGAAACTTAACGTAGTCCATGAAACTGCACTGCAGCAGACTTCGGCTGGTCTGTTCAGCTTTACCTGTTATAATGAAACTGTGTCTTATACTCCAGGACAACCACTTACGAGCAGCAGAAAGTGTTAACCTCATATATAGCATTGCTCAAGACAGTTTCTTTTCTTTCCATAGATCAAGCTTCTGAGGTCCAGGTGACGATGATGCTCACCGAGAGCTGCAAGCTTCGCGGCCTCCATCACAGGTGGGAGGAGCCAGCGCTCGGAACTGCACCAAGCATGGTGCTCGGTGCTGACCAAGCGTGGTGCCACTCATGCAGTGCCTCGGTGCTGACCGAGCATGGCGCCACTCATGCAGTGCCTTGGCGCTGACCGAGCATGGCGCCACTCATGCAGTGCCTCAGTGCTCACCGAGCATGGCGCCACTCATGCAGTGCCTTGGTGCTTACCAAGCACGGCACCCGGTGCTGACCACTCATGCACCACTCACAGCGTCCAACATTGTCTTCAGCTCTGAGTTGAACGTTTTTTGGGGATCATTTCTTTTTTCTGAATACAAAAGTGAAATGCATGTTCAGTGCAGAAAGTTTTCAAAGAGAAAGGAAACGAAAATAAGGAACCATTCGTAAGCCCACATCTGGATAATCATAGCTGAGCTTTTCAGAAATAGTTTATACATATTTATGTGCCTATTTCTCTAAGATAGGCCCAGCCTTGGTGGTGCTAGGAGTACAGGGCACTGCCATGCAATGCCAGAGCCTTGCACAAGACTGAGGGTTCAGGTCCCAGGTTGACCTGAGCATTCCAGGGGTATGCACATGTGTGTTCCTAAGCTTGACTAGAAAGCACATGGGCTGAACAGCATGGCATTACGGGAGCCTGTGGAGGGTGCTGTCTCTCATGGAAGAAAAACATACACACACACACACACACACACACACACACACACACACACATATATATATACACATGTATTATATATACATATATATATATAGAGAGAGAGAGAGAGGGAGAGAGACACAGAGAGAGATTACTATAGGGCACATGCACTTGCTGGAGAGAGAATAAGACGTCGTCCACTGGGAGGGATGGCTACACTGCAGTCTCCTCTTCTCCATTCTCTTTCTGGGTTTTTGGGTACACGTATGCACCCAGTGTATTTTTCAAACCACCAGTTGCAAGGCATAAGCCATGCAGTTGGCTATATGGGACCCAGCTGCCTTAGCCACTGCGCCACCTGCTTGCCCGAAACATCTCCTTTTTAAATTTGCTATAGAGCTTGAGAACTTGCAGGAGAGACAGAAAGGGTGACAGAGAGTGAGAACGCACCTCACCAGGGAGGGGGGCCATGCTGCAGTCCCTTCTCCACTTCCGTCTCAGGATTTTGTACAAGCATGCACACACACCTGGTGTGTTTTTCAGGCTGCTGGACCTGGCTGGGACTCAGACTGTGTAGTTGGCCATATGGGATCCAGCTGCCTTAACCACCACGCTACCTTGCTGTCCCGCTGTAAAACTGTTTTAGAAATTTAATAATTTTGCCATAGGGCATGTGTGCTCTCAGGAGAGAAACAGAGGGAAAGTGAGAAATCACCCCCTTGGGAGATGGCCAAGCCGTAATCCCTTCTCCATTCTGTCATGATTTGGGGCACTCAACAGACACACCCAACGTGATTGTCAGGGCGAGCCTCTGGGCCCGGGGTTATATGAGTCCAGCACCTTCACCCCACACCACCTGTTGGCACCCAAACTTTAACTTTGTTTATGTTCTGCTTTATATTCAAACATAGACCAATATAAAGGTCTAAAAAGACAGTTACAGTAAGATCAGTGAAATGGAAATGAAAATAAAACAGGTTTTTGACATTATGGAATGAAAAGAAAAGGGCAAACCAGTAACGCAACAGATACTTTTGTTGTGACTGAACATAAAACAGCTCTTGACTTTTTGGGCAGCCCAGTGGGAAGGAGGTGTGGAAAGGTGGTAAAAGTCAGTAGGAAAAGGGGAAGAAACCAAGTTCTGTTTAGAGGAGGAAAAAGGTTTTCTTATAGTTTCAAATTCTGAGGCAGATGTCTGTCTCAGGTTTATCTCATACGTGACATCAACTAGTATAATGAACAAAAGTCCATATTTTTTAGCTGTATTGAAAATAAGAAAGCAAGAGACCTTTGAAAAAACTGAGCAGACTGTATCGAGGGACAGTGAAGATGTCCCTTGGGAGGGTAAAGGCTGCAGGACCCTGACCTTCCACTGGCTGATTCATTCCACAAATAGCACTCATCATTTGCAGAGGGGTACATGGATAACCCATCCCTTAGGCTGTATTTTCCTTCTTTCTTTTCCTTCCTTCCTTCTTTCTCCCTCTATCTCTTTCTTTTTTAAAGTTATATATCTCTTCTTTGAGCACATGAGAGAGACCAAGACAGGAAAACAGCGGCAGCATCCCCACCACGATCCTCGAGTCACTGTGCACCCGAGCCTCAGCCAGCCTTAGCTCACAGGCACCCTGGCCGGACCCTCTGGGAGGTATCTAGATGTGAGCCTGGACCTTTCCACGTGGCTCAGCCTCGCAGGGTCTCACGTGACTCTAGGGCCCCAGACTGTTGTTTCCTCAAAAACACATTCTCTGGGCTTTGGGCAAGACCAGCGGTGGCCCAGCCATTGTGCACAAGCAGCCCCTCTGCTTGACTGGGAACCACGCGGGAGACCCAGGCTTAGCTCCTGGGTCAGCCTAGACACTCCAGACGGAGTTGTGTGTGCAGTAAGCCTGGCTAATCGGCTGTTGGGAAGGATTACAGCACAGTAAATACCTATTCCTGTCTCACCCTCCCTCCTCGCTTTCCTGCCCTCTGTGTCTTAAAGGGAGAAAACAGAAGAACTGGGGGATGAGTGATCAGTTGGCAGTGTCCCTTCTGGGAGTGCTCGACGTCCCTCCTCTTACGCTTAGTCTAGGGGAAGAGCCCAAACGATCTGATAGTGTATAATGCTAATATCGGTTGGGTCGTTGGGAAGTCACGGCGTATTTCTGTTTTTCTATACGAAAACGGGGCATGACTTTTCCGACGACCCAGTAGTACCTAGCTGCCTTGCTGGTATTCTTACCCTGATGAAAACTTTGCACCAGTTTGGCACAGGAGCGGTGGCAGGGATGAAGTGGGGAAAGCCAGGATTTTCCCATGGAACAGCGTCATACCCACTGTAGCACCGAAGATGCCTTCCTGAAAACGGCAGAGCAAGCTTTTGTAGCGTTCTTATGCCGCTGTGGTCTACAGATTAGGCAGAATGAACAGCAGCCATTGTATTTGGAAGCATTTTCATGAGCTTGTTAGCACTACCAGAAAGTGTTTAGTCCTCTGCTGGTGGGTTAAAAGGTAGAGCCTCATCACTGAACACTGTACCTGGACAGAATACCTTGAGTGCTGTTAAGTGAATGCCAGTCACAAAAAAAGGAGCGAAGGAATACTCACTTGGGTCTTTGGGAGACTGGGCAACCTTCATATTCCCCCTGATGTCATGGTCTGTTTCTGTTGATCCTGAGCGTGAACCTGGGTCACGTCCGTGTGCGTGAGAGCTGATGGAAAGTAGGCCTGTGAGCTTGCCCCCAGGGAGGGAATCCCCAGTGTCCAGGGGAAGGCACAGAGGTTTGGGATCAGATGAAGATCTGAATTTTTTTTTAAAGAATTATCTTATTTATTTATTTATTTATTTTTTAAATTTTACTACAGAGGGACACAGAGAGAGAGAAAGTGAGAAAGCAAGCTGCCAGGTCTGGGACTCAAACCACAGTCAGCCATGTGGGAGTCCGGAGCCCTTAACCACCATGCCACCTGTTGGCCCTGAAGATCTGAATTTTTTTCTCAATATACTTGCTCTTTGTCCTTGGTAGGTTCCCTAACCTTTCCCCTCTGGCGTGGGTTGTCTGGCCTGTAAAATGGGGCTGATAATGACTGCCACTCTGACTAATGCAAGCAGAAATTCACAGAGCAGTTGCCCCTGACAGCTTACTGATCTTCCAGTCCTGTTTTTCCCAGCTCTCGGGGTCAGTACTTCCCTGATAGCAACTCCTGCAAACCCGAGTGGAACCCACAGCACCAGGTGGTGGTGGTCATGCCGGAATATTTTAGCTGTGGCTGTCTAAGTGATAACATGCCCAACTGAGACAGTTCTAGGGAATTCAGAAAAGCACAGTCGACGTGACCTGTAGTCCCACAACTCAAAGACAGCAGCTCTTAACTCCTGGCATATCTGTGTGTAAAGTCTTACTCAATTCCTCCGTATTTGTAACTGTGCTGCAAACATTTGAATGTTGCATCTTGCTTTCCAATGAGGTAAGCTTTTACTCATGCTTCTGTATCTCCTTGTGACCAGTCACTCTTCCATGTTACTGTATTATTACTCCAGTACTTTCGGACATGGAGTAGTAACCCTCACACCTTTTCACTGTTGACGAACACATTGCATGAACTGTCCTCATTCATGTATGTGTGTTTGCTATTATTTAATCAAACACTCTTAGAAACAACTTGGTAAACTGAGGGATAGGAGTGTTTTTAAAATCTACTGTTATTTGGGTATTTATCAAATATTTATTAAATGTTTGTTTTTTTAATAAATTAAATGTTATTTTCAAAGCATGGGGTCTGAAAATTAATGAGTCCATGATAGTTTTTGAGTTCTAGAAATGTTCAGCTTAGTGAAGAATAATTTTATGTTTAAAGTTACATAACCTTGGGAAAAATGAGCAATTATTTTCATATTATTAGGCCTTTTTTGAAAGTGTGATGATGGGAGAAGTAGAGTATTATAATACACTCATGGTAAAGTTGGTTTTAGGCGGCCATCCTTGGAGTAAAGATCTGGAGGACTGTCTTCAGAGAACCCAGTGCACAAAAGCCACTTCAAGTTTATAGCTTTTCCTTATCCAGGAAGTGCAGACGTGGGCATGTCTAAGTCAGGTTTAACATGTAGAGCACTTACGATTTCACCTTTTTAATGGTATCAGAGTTTTAAGTATGTGTGGGATTTTGTTTTTAGTTTATCTCTATTTTACTTTCATTAAAAATAAACCCCTGAGGTTTTAAATTTCATTTACCTGTTTTCCAACTTATTGTTTTATAGAAATCTTCTCCCTATCACTCACGTGTGCATAGAAGAAGGAGAAAAGCCCATGGTGGTATTGCCCTACATGAACTGGGGGAATCTTAAATTGTTTTTACGGCAATGCAAGTTAGTAGAGGCTAATAATCCACAGGTGAGAACAATTTGCCCAAATAACCAGTTACTTACTAGTAGTTTCCTATAATATGTCTGAAAGTAAATATGAATATTCTTACGTAAACTGTTCAAAGGGCTGCAAAAAGAAACTCAAATTGAAAAAAGGTATTTGTCACTTGTTGATGTGGAGGAAGATGTGGATGGTCTGTGATTAAAGTCTTGAGGCTTCCATTTTTTTTGACGCTGATGTGTTTAACTTTCATTATGTGTTTATCCATAATCCCTCAAACCCGCGGTAACACTTTCTCATTCATTTTCCCAGGAACTCTTTGAAGGCCCTTATCTTTAATCTCTCTTCTAGGAATGGGAACAGAGTTTATAGTCATTTTGGCCCGTATTATACTAAAAGCTGCTGTCTGGAGGTCTAGATCGTGGAGGATAATGATTTCTTTCTTCCTTTTCATTGCACTCAACAGAGAGGGGGGGAAAGCACCCCTAAGTTGGGCACAGCCGTACTACAACCCCTTTTCCTCCATTTCTCTGTACCACGGGGGTTTGGGGCACACGTGCACACAAGCCCAACACATTTTTGCTTAGAGAGATATTTACTAAAGGGAGCATGCGCTTGCTGGAGAGACAGAGAGACAGAAAGCAAGAAATCACCCCCGGGGGGGATGGTCATGGCACTCCCTTCTCCTTCATCCTCCTCTTGTAATCTTGGGCATGCGTGTACACGCGCCTGGGGTGAGTTTTCAGCCACTGGATCCAGGACTTGAACTGTGCTTGACTGTGTGGGAGTGCAGTGACGCAACCATTACGCCATCTGCTGGTTGCTGGCCCAGCATGTATTTTAAGCTGTGGTTGGCCAGTGGGCTACAGCTCCCTTAACCATTGTGCTACAGGGCTGGCCAGCCCAGTGCAGTCTTAATGATCTTGGCTTCAAGATGTCAGCCATTAAGAATTTTGTTCTCGTCTCTGCTTATGCACACAGCTGGGAAGCGTTTTGTCATTCCAAACACGTAATGGCTCACTTCGCTGTATCTTAGAGCCCTGTTAAATTGGTTTTAGGGTTTATGGTGTTTTTAAAATTTTTTTTTTTTTTTTTGAGAGATTTTCACTGTAGGGTGCGTGCGCTCGCCAGACATACAGAGCGAGACATAGAGACAGAAAGCAAGAAATCACCCCCCAGGGGGGATGGTCACACCGCAATCCCTTCTCCTCCATTCTCCTCTCGGGATCTTGGGCACGCACGCACACGCGCCCGGCGTGAGTTTTAAGTCACTGGGTCCGGGACACGAACCGTGGTCGACCACGTGGGAGTCCAGCGACATAGCCATTACGCTAACTGCTGATTCCCTTAAAATTATTTTTTTTAAAAGAATTATTTGCATTTATTTATTTATTTATTTATTTAAATCTGACCAGAGAGGGACAGAGTGAGGGAGCGGGTGGGGGGTGGGGGGGAGGTGAGAAAGCAGGCCTCCAGGATTCAAACCGCTGTTGGTCATGTAGGAGTCTGGCACCCCCAGCCACCACGCCAGTAATGCACTTCCTACTGTTGCCATGAGGAAATAGTCAGAGGCCACACTGACTATTTAACATGTCTGATACATCTTATAAATGGACAGGATTAGAGCGGGGATCCCAGCATGTCTTTGAAGGCTTTGACCCAGCAGCATCCCCTGGGCAAGAATAATGTCAACCTTTAGCCCCAGTTCTGGCACGGATCTAGAAGACAGAGTTGTAGACTGTGAGTCTGAAGAGGCCCCCAGAGGGTAATCGCCTAGTAAAAATTAGTGTTTTAAAAGGAAAGAACACATTATTCAGTAATAAGCATTTGAAATATCACCTTGAGAATTCAGTAGCCCTTGGGAACCAGCAGTTAGTGTAATGGCTATGTCGCTGGACTCCCACGTAGTCGACCGCGGTTCGCGTCCCAGACCCAGTGGCTTAAAACTCATGCCGGGCGTGTGCATGCGTGCCCAAGATCCTGAGAGGAGAATGGAGAAGGGATTACGGCGTGACCATCCCCCCTGGGGGGTGATTTCTCGGTTTCTGTCTCTATGTCTCTGTCTGTCTGGCGAGCGCACGCGCCCTATAACGATAAACCTCTCCAAAAAAAAAAAAGAATTCAGTACTCCTTGAGCAGATACTTACTGAGCAGCGACCGTATGTGCTGGGTGCTGGGGTGGTCCCTCTAACCGATGACAAGAGGGACCAAGTAAGCTACGCTACAGCACAGCATAATGAGGGCTGTAGTTGTAAGTACAGGGAGCTCTTTCTATTTAGAACTCCGCGTGTAGGTGTGTAAAGAAGTGTTTTGAATAGAGTGGGACAGTGGAATAAAACAAGCAGCCTTGCACCAGAATTGGGGTGTGCAAACCTTGTCGTTTTCTGTTACCACAGGCAATTTCTCAGCAGGACCTGGTGCACATGGCCATCCAGATCGCCTGTGGGATGAGCTACCTGGCCCGAAGGGAAGTCATCCACAAGGACCTGGCGGCTAGGAACTGTGTGTAGGTGCCATGATCCGTGACGGTGTGCAGTGCTCCCTGGGTGTGGGGTTCTCCAGCGTGCGTAGTGAGACCGGTACTGAATTGAAGGGTCACAGATCTTTACCCTTTAATGCTCTGGTGGCATTCTGACGTTCACGTTTTTACTTTCCAGCATTGATGACACACTGCAAGTTAAGATCACAGACAATGCCCTCTCCAGAGACTTGTTCCCCATGGACTATCACTGCCTGGGGGACAATGAAAATAGGCCAGTTCGGTGGATGGCTCTGGAAAGCCTGGTTAATAACGAGTTCTCGAGCGCTAGTGATGTGGTAAGTGCTGGCACTCCCGAACGTCAGAAGCACCTCAGGGCTGCGTTTTCGCTCTGCACTAGAAGGATTCACTATTGCAGTATGTCAAGGTTCTCAGAACATTTTTTTAAAAAGAATTATTTATTTAATTTTCTTAATTTATTATTATTTTAAAATTTGCTATAGGGCATACACATTCACCAGAGAAAGACACGACAGAGAGAGAGAGAGAGCAAGCTCCCTGGTCTGGGACTCAAACCATGGCTGGCTGTGTGGGAGCCCAGCGCCCTCACCCCATCACACCACCTGCTGGCCTGGTTCTCATAATGCTAATGTCAATTTCTAACATTGAGCTTAGGAAATTTGAGCAACTAGGTTTGACTAGTTGTAAATGCCTTGCCAACACTGTGCTGAGATACGATGTCCTCATGGGCCTTCCCGGGAATTTCTGGACAAAATTAAACAACAGCTGTAGGTACCACCAGATTATTTTTATGTGACTTTCTTTTCCTTCATTTGAAAATTGTTTTTTTGATTTATATCTTTAGATTATTTGATTATAGTAACTAACATCATTCTTCTGTTCAGAGACTGTTTTCTACTAAGAGCTGAATGTAATCAGGAATACACAGTTAAGAGTTTCTTTCTTGTTGGTTTTCTTGTCTTCGTGGTATTTCATTGTGTTTAAAGACATTTTTCTTGGGAAAAACAAGTCACGGAAATGACGACCTTGCCAATCTTATCAGTGGTTTATGGCAATTAAAAGATCTTTTTTAAGATAGTTGCAGTTTTTAGGATATAGTGCAAATCAGCAAGTGTTTCTTGTGCATATTATTACTTTGTGAACAATAGTGGCTGCTCAGGAGAGGGAGGCGGAGTCTGCACGGTGACCCAGAGGGCGTCAGTGGCTCTTCACGGCGGTGCTCTGTGCCCCTCGTGGAGGACGGCTGCCACCCCCTGCATGGACTCGAGCGTTTTTGCTATTGGGTGCGTGCGCTTGCCAGAACGACACAGACAGAGAGACAGAAAGGGAGAAACACCCCTGAGGGGGGATGGCCATGCCGCAATCCCTTCTCCTCCATTCTCCTCTCGGGATCTTGGGCACGCACGCACACGCACCCGGCGTGAGTTTAAGTCACCGGGTCCAGGACTCGAACCGCGGTCGACTACGTGGGAGTCCAGCGACATAGCCATTACACTAACTGCTGGTCCTAGCTATGACTTTTAAAAGCACAGGAAACTTTGTTTTATATTATTTCCTTAATTATTATTTTAGAGTAATGCTTAGATTCCCAGTAGTTACTTACTTTCTTTAGAGTTATATATTTGACACAACAGCAGTCGTAGACCTATTTAAGTATTAAGTTAACATTTATTTAAGAAGGGCCAGCAGGTAGCATGGAGATTAAAGTGGCTGGATCCCACATGGCCAACTGAGCAGTTCAAGTCCCAAACCCAGGTGCATGCGCATGTGTGCCCAAAATCCCGAGAGGAGAATGGAGGACAATGTAGTGTGGCCATCCGCCCAGGAAGTGATTTCTCACTTTCTGTCTCTGGCAAGCACACGTGCCCTATAGCAAAAGAAAAATCTCTCTCAAAAAATTTCAGAGGTAAAAGGATCATTTCAGACCTTAGTTCAGAGATTTGAGGTTTAACATTAACATCAAGAAGATGCTGGTATTAGTTAATGGTGTTATTTTAATCATCCTGCTATTTCTTGGAATGAGAGATAAATGGGTTTCTTTCGAGAATAACAGTTGATGCATTTGCCCGATGAGCAGCTGTGTCCCGTGACTGAGCTGCCCTGGCGTACGGGATCCGTTACAGTGAAATCTCGTGGCTTTCTTTCCTTGCCGTGAGAGTCTCGTCCTGTCCATTGTGTTCAGTGTTTCCCAGATAGTTCTGATAGAGCGGCGTCCGGGCATCTGGTGCCAAAGAGAGAAGTGTCGTAACGGCAGGTGTGTGGGCCCTCTCAGGCACCCGCACTGGCCCCTGTGCCACGCTGACCACAGGTCCTGGACGGATTCTTCATAGAAATGGTCTCTTCAGTTGGATAGCTCTCTGCTGTTTCTTTTTATTTTATTTTATTTTTTTTTTGAGAGTTTTTTGCTATAGAGTGCATGAGCTCACCAGACAGACAGAGAGAGACAGAGAGACAGAAATCACCCCCCAGGGGGGATGGCCACGCCGCAATCCCTTCTCCTCCATTCTCCTCTCGGGATCTCAGGCACGCACGCACACTCGCCCGGCGTGAGTTCTAAGCCACCGGGTCCGGGACACGAACCGCGGTCGACTACGTGGGTGTCCAGCGACATAGCCATTACGCTAACTGCTGGTCCCAGCTCTCTGCTATTTTTGAGGTTGAATTAGTGGCTTGGTGCATTTGGGCTGCTGTAAAAAACTACCCCGGACTGAGTAACTTAAACAACAGATGTTTTTATTTTTTTCCTCACAATTCTGGAGTTTGAAAAGTCCAAGGTGAAGACGCCAGCAGATCTGGTGTCTGAAAGGCCACCCTGGTCCATGATGGCCATCTCCCTTCTGTACCCGCATGGCGTGAGGCACGGGGGAGCTCTTGGGGGGTCTCTTTTATAAGGACACTGATCCGATTCCTGTGGTCTCATCACCTCCCAGAGGCCCCAACTTGTAATTCCATCACATTGGGGGTTAAGATTTCAAATGTGAGGGACCAGCAGTTAGCGTAATGGCTATGTCGCTGGACTCCCATGTAGCCGACTGCGGTGTCCCGGAACCGCTGTCTTAAACTCACGCCGGTTATGTGTGCGTGCATGCCCAAGATCCCGAGAGGAGAATGGAGGAGAAGGGACTGTGGTGTGGCCATCCCCCCGGGGGGTGATTTCTCGCTTTCTGTCTCTCTGTCTCTCTCTGTCTTTCTGGCAAGTGCACACGCCCTATAGCAAAAACCTCTCCAAAAAAGAAAAAAAGATTTCAAATATGAATTTGGAGGAGACAAATTCAGTCCATCACATTCTGCCACTAGTCCCCAAAACTCGTGTTCTCACGTGTAAGATACCTTTGTTCTATCTCAGTTGCCCTGGAAGTCTTAACTTTTTCTCACATCAGCTCTTAAGATCCAAAGTGTCTTTTATCATCCATGTCAGACCTGGGTGAGCCTCAGGATGTATGTCTCGAGATTCATTCCTCTCCAGCTCTCAGCCTGTAAGAACAAACAGGTTATGTGCTTCCAAAACACAGTAGTGGGACAGGTGTCAGGCGACAGACACAGCCTTCCCTGAAGGAAAAATTAGGAAGGAGGAAAGAGGTAACAGCTCCTAGGTAAGACCAAGACCCAGCAAGGCCAACTGCATTAACCCGAAGACGAAAGACTGGCTCTCAGTTCAGTCCGCTTTCCAGGCCCACAGGGTTGGCAGTGAATGCAAAGCTCCCTGCCAGGGCCCTGCCCCTGGTGTTCTGAGTGGAAGCAGCCAGGAACAAAGTATAGTTTGAATAATTCTATTTACATAAAATTGTAGGAAATGCAGAGTAATGTATCATGACAGACAGGTTAATGGCCACTCGACAATGGCAGAGGTTGTGGAGAGGCCCGGGGCACCTTCTGAAGGTGGTGGCTGCGTGCCCTATCGCGGCGATGGTTTCAGGGCTGTCCACGTAGGTCAGAACTTGTCACACTGAACACTTCTATGTCAGCCATGCTCTGATGTAAACAGATGAGAACAGTCGACTGTCCAGCCACCTCTGCCAGCATCTGTAAACTAGTTCCTAAAGTTGCTAGATCTTAAAACCCAGGTAAGAGTTCCAGCCTTCAGGATTGTTAAGATAGGGCTGAGGAGTTTGAAATAAGCACTCCAGGAGATTCTCCTCTTTATTCAAGCTAAGAAATCACTTGACCCGGGGGACCAGCAGTTAGTGTAATGGCTATGTCTCTGGACTCCCATGTAGTCGACTGCGGTTTGAGTCCCAGACCTGGCAGCTTAAACTCATGCTGGGCGTGCGTGTGTCTGTGCCCAAGATCCTGAGAGGAGAATGGAGGAGAAGGGATTGTGGTGTGGCCATCCCCCCTGGGGGGTGATCTCTCGTTTTCTGTCTCTCTGTCTCTCTCTGTCTTTCTGGTGAGTGTATGCACCCTGTAGCAAAATAAGAACCTCTCTAAAAAAGAAAAAAAAAAAGAAATCACTTGACCCAGATTTAGTTAGTCGTACTTTGGTTATCTGTACCCATGTCTGTATGCAAGAAAGGGGTGTGAGGTTTTGTATTAACAGGAAAGCCTAGCCATAGAATAACTAACTATTCCTCCTGTGGTCAGATGAGATAATTAGGTAGAATTCTTTTCTTATCAGTATATATTGGAATGTATTAACGTCAGCCTTGTAGTGTAAGTCCCTGAAGTCATACAATAGAAATCTTTTAATTTGAGGATCAGCAGGTGGTGTAGTGGTTAAGGCGCTGGACATTCCCACATGGCCCACCACAGTTCGAAGCCTGGACCTGGTGACTTGCTTTCTCACTTCTCTCCACCTCCGATCAAATTAAAATAAATATTACAATAAAAAATAATTTAAAAAACCCTCTTAATTCAAAGCATCATTTTAGTTAACACCACTTTTTTTTTTTTTTTTTTAGAGGTTTTTGCCATAGGGCGCGTGCGCTCGCCAGATAGAGACAGAAAGCGAGAAATCACCCCCCCCAGGGGGGATGGTCACGCCGCAATCCCTTCTCCTCCATTCTCCTCTCGGGATCTTGGGCACGCACGCACACGCGCCCGGCGTGAGTTTTAAGCCACTGGGTCCGGGACTCAAACCGCAGTCAACTACGTGGGAGTCCAGCGACATAGCCATTACGCTAACTGCTGGTCCCAGTTAACACTGCTTTTAAAAGAATTTTACTTATATGCTTTTTATAAGCCTTATCAGCATATATTGTTAGTGAAAAAATGTTTTATGCTCCTTATCTTAAAATGCTATAAAATAACTTGAGGGAAGAAGAATAAGATGACGAGAACAACATTGTTATCCTCTAAATGTGTCTTAAACGACAGAGCCACAGTATTCCATAAAACTCTGGAAAAAACGCTTGACCTTCTTCTTGCCCTCTTTCCAACGACGTCAAACAGAAGGAAATTATAGAATAAGTCTGTCTAAATTTTAAAGGGTCCTGTTATCAGAAGACTTTAAAGAGAAAGTTTTACATAAATCACTCTTGTGCCAGTTTTTTCTTTTAAGGGTTGGCGAGCCAACATGTCATTAGTCATTTTTGTTGGTCTTTAAGGAAATGAGACTGCAGTGTGCCCTTTGGCATGATTGTTCCCTTCAGTGGTGTTTTTGTTGGTGGCCGTAGGTAACGTGAGAACCTTAGGGGAACGCCTGGCAGTGTGGATGTGGGCAAAATAATGAAAGAAGTCACTTTTAAAAGTCAGCTTATTCATATTTTGCTGTTCTTGTACCTGTGTGCAACTCCAGATCTCAGATCCACCGACACGCCTGTCGGAGTTCCTAGAAGCCAGAGTCTAAGTGCGTCTCCTTGGTCGGTGGGTGGAGTTCCTCCTCTTCACAAAGCGGCCATCTCTGCTTGTGGCCAGGTCCTGTTCTCGTCTCCCCTGAGAGCTCCTTTGAAGTGACTATTCCTTCCCCTCTGTGCTGCCAGTCAGTGGGACGGGGCGGGCCTGTCCCAAGAGGAAGAGGGGATGGACACACCCCTCCAGCCAGTGTCACCTCTTTGCGGTCTATTCCATGTGTGTAGCGAGCTACCTTCTCTATGGAAATTGGCCCATTAAAATAAGCAGCACATGTACTAATCCTTATCAATGTTAAGATTTCATGTGGAGTATGATTTTAAGATCAGCCAATGTGACCATTTGCCATGGCCAGCCAGCAGAGAGACAGGAGTGTTACAGCTCCCGCCTCAAATCTGCCTCCCCAGTGTAAGTAGGCTGGCCAGATTCTGGTAAGAATTGTAGTTAGAGTTCACTGTCGTGAGACTTTTTAAAAAGTCTGTTTATTTTATAGAGTATTTCTGAATTTCGTTATTGAAAAACAGTAGCCTAGAATTGAACGCACTGCTTATTAGACTTTTAGAGAGACTTGTATTTGACTAGTATGTGTGTGTTTGTTTCTTTCTTTTTTCCTTGTCTTTCTCTCATTTTTACCTCTTTCACTCATTTGGGGCAGGTACCTTCTCTGGCCTCAGTTTCCTCACCTTATAAAATCATGCTCTGAGGCTAACCCTGGCATGGTGATTAAAGTAGCTGGATCCCACATGGCCGACTGTGTGGTTTGAGAAACACACCAGGTGCATGTGCGTGCATGCCCAAAATCCTGAAAAAAGGGAGAAATAGGAGGAGAAGATTGACATTCCCCGTGAGAAATGTGTTCTTGCTTTCCTGCCTTCTGTTTCTCTGTTCCTCTCCAGTGAGTGCATGTGCCCTCTGGCACGTAAAACAAGAAAATCAAGCTCCTAGTGATTCTTAAAGGTTTGTTGTGGAAATAGAACGTGATAAAGGTTCCAAATACCTAGACTGTGTCGGGAATCCTCGCCTGATCCGTGTACGCGGTATCCTCCTCCACTCCAGCTTCAGTCATTCTGAGCTCAGGGTCCACACGTGGCAGAGAGCACTGGGGACCCTTGCTCTGAGCCCGTGGCCATCCATAGCAGCAGCTCTGTGTAGACATCTGCGTGCCCTCCACACTCTGCAGGGCCGGGCCCAATTAGGGAGCGCAGATCAGACCGTGAACAAGCACTGTCGAGACTGCTTACCTTTTACCTTTTCTGTTCCTACCAGCGGTTCCCATGCTGGTTTTCTGTCTTTTCTAAGTGTATTCATTTCTATTTTCCATGAGTGCATGAGAGAAAAGAGAGAGTGAGACAGACAGACAGCACGCCCAGCAGAGGCCCAACACTGCGGCCCACCCCCAGCTTCAGCCTCAGGTCACGGACACATGCCCGGCGTGTACAGGGAGGGCTCCGGACGTGAACCCACAACTCCCCACGTGGGTCAGGCTCACACAGCCTTGTTTCACAGTTGCCTGCCCCGCCCCCCTGCTGATTTTAAATAATATGAACTTTTCACCTATTTCAGGTGTTTTTCACTCCAGTTAGATGGAAGTTATTAATTTTGTACTTCTCAGTTATGCAGAGTAGGCGTAGGCGCAGTATTTAAAGTTACAAATTTTCATATTAGGACACTCTTAGACATAATTTATGGTTTGTGGTGGTGCTGCTTATAATCCAGCAGTGACAAGTATTTCTTCAACAGATCTAATTACTTAGACTATGCAATACTGATAATCACACTGAAGGATTCACTTGTTAGAACGCTGTTTTCCATCCCAACAAGAGAAGTTACCTGGATCTGGAGACTTCCTTCTCGTAGATTGCATTATACTTCCTTACGTTAGTTGGAGCCAGCCCATGCAGGGGTAGTTTAAGGTGACTGGATCCTATGTAACTGACTCTGCAGTTCAAATCCTGGGACCAGGCGGCTTGAGAAACGCACCCAGCATGCGCAGATGTGTTCCCAAAATCCTGAAAGGAGGGAGAAATAATTGTGGCTGGACCACGCCCCATGGGAGGGTGCTTTCTCGCTCTCCCCTACCCTGTCTCTCTCTGGTGAGCACACATGCCCTCTAGCAAATTAAAAAGGAAAAAAAAAGTGATTAAACTGGTGATTAAACTGGTGTATACCCAGTGATAGGCAGCAACACCCTGACAGCTGTTTCAAGTGTCCCCTCACATGCTGCTCCTTTCCTAGTGGGCCTTCGGAGTGACGCTGTGGGAGCTCATGACCCTGGGCCAGACGCCCTATGTGGACATTGACCCCTTCGAGATGGCTGCATACCTGAAAGACGGCTACCGGATAGCCCAGCCGATCAACTGTCCGGATGAGCTGTGAGTTTTTCCAGACTGAAGACATGAGTTTCATGGGATTTAATCTATCGGGGTAGGAGGGGAAGGGCAGATTGCTGCGTTCATACAGAGCCTTCCCTTTTGGGAGTGGCAATTCTTTGGATTTGAGGATGCCGACTCTTTGGACTGGCATGAAGTTTCCTGCAGAGGGTCAGGCGTAGGCAGCCGTTCACTCGTGCACTTGACATCAGTACTTGTGTCTTGGACTTGTGCTGCGTAACCTAAACACTGCAAACTAGACTGAGAGACGTGATTCACGTGACGGGATCTCAACAAGTTGGTGGAAAAATGGAATGAAAGTACGGGTTTATTTTGGTGCAACAAAAATCTGAACTCTCTGCACAATTTCTTACATTTTGTATTTTCCAGGACCTTTTGAAGACCCCTCATATAGTGAGAAACCTAACTGAATTCTATGCTGATTATTATATATAGTGAGGGTCTGACTTTTGTTTATTCCCCCTCAAGGGCGTAACAGTTATAAAAAAGCCTTTCTTGTTACCACCCAGCCTTGCCAGTGCTGTCAGTTGATACACAGGGAAGACATTCTGGGCTTTGGGTGAGATGGTTGCTTCTAGTTTCCTGCTTTCATGTCATAGCTCACCTCCCACCTGCTGGAGAGGGGTGCTAGAGGCTACTCAGGGAAGTTGGGTACACAGAGTGTGGTCTCCGTTCCAGAACCCCTCAGCGATTTGTATTCTGATTTGCACCAATTTTAACCATAGATCCAGGGTTCTTAGAGCTTAGATAGAACTTCCTTTTCTTCAAAGTCCTTTCAGAACTTAAATACAGGATAACAGGTTCTTACTTTGATTGTTGCTTGGACCTGCTCGGCTGAACACATTTTTCTGAGTGGAGAAGGCTGTGGTTTAGAAATAAACGCAACATACACACACAAAGACATAACAAGTATGGAAAAGCGAGGTTTGGGTGGGCCCAACCTCTCTGAAGGAGAAGTTGCGACCAGGAACTGGTCTCACTCAAGTTTATTCTGTTAAAGGGTAGAATATGGGGGAAGAGGAAATGGAATGCAAAGCCAGTTGGTTTTGGGTGTAAATCATCTGAAGATGCAAAAACAACTGGCACCAGGTAATTTCTCTGATCTTTTTGGGGCGAAATCTGATAAGCACATGTAGCTTCCCTTAGCCTCATTGTTGTATTGGGTATCTATCTGATAACAACGGGAAGATACCGGTAACAGGCAGATGGCGTTTTCCTATGTAAATGCTCGCGTAGCCATTGCTGAAGAAGCTCATGGAAGCATGTTCTGCACGCAGCTAAAGGTCACATTTTCTCAGACTGGCCGCTCTCCACATGTCCCCTTCTCTTTCTCTAATTTGAGTCTGTGGAGCCGGATGGCTGTAGACTGGTGGGGCTCTTGCTGTGTAATTCTGCAGACTAGTAGAAAAATAAACATAAGCAAGATTATCGACACAGTTATTCTCAAGAAATACCATAAGGGGTGGTAAAGCATGTTAAAAGGATTAGTGTCTTTGCAAAGGGGTTTTTATAATTAAGAACCCCATATATCCATATTGACTAAAATTTTTGGTTTTAGTAAATTTAATCTTAGTGTATATTATAGCTCATGAACGTGTATAACCTATAGTCACAAAAACCTGTTCAACAAATTTTTGAGCACAGAACTAAACAGTTGTATTAGATTTGTCCCTAAATTTCTAATTTTTATAAAATTTAAAAGACAAAAAATATGGAATATTAAAGTATGTTAATTTAATAATGAGAGCTATAAGGATTCAGGAAGAACTGGATTGTTGTTCAGGCTCTCTGTGAGTTTATATTTAATATTGAATTTAATACCTTTTTATGTTAATTTTGATTCCGGTGTATAGCATTGTTTATTAAAATAGATTGTCACTAGGTAATTGACTTAAATTAATCTCATGGAATTTATTCAAATAATAGATTTTAACAATTTACTTATGATCTTTTTTAGTGGGCCAGGATGTACTAAGCTTCACAGTTGTAATATTGCCTACTTGGCATGTAATTTGGCCACCCACTTTTTACTTATGGTAAATTTTGGTTTTGTTTAGTGACTGGCTTTGCAGATTAGAACACCAATTCGTTTTTGTATGTAAAATGGAAATTTTCACTTAACTGATTAGATTATTAGAAACCTGTACTTTCAATACATCTTTTTTCTATCCTCTTTGTGAATTTTTTTTTAAAAGGCATATTGGGTTAGAATTACAGCCATCTGGAAAAAGCTTTCAGAAAAATGTTAAACAAAGCAATTACACATGGACAGTGAGACTTGATGCTCGGACAAGAATTTACAACTGATAAAGGAATTGGGCAGTGTTTATGGCATACACACCAGTTTAATATCACCTGTAACTACCTGATGAATACCATATCGGAGATTCCTAGGAATTTCAAATGATTTTGGAATACAAATACATATATAAATACAGAATCCATAAATATATGTAATATATATTCACAAATGTATATATAAGTTATTTATACATATAATTTAAATATAATGTGAATAAAATTACTCAATTTGACACTGTTTTCCAGTATCATTTAATACATTAGAATAAGCCTGATTGATTTAACATTTGTTGTTTGGATATTTCAGGGGCCCTCAGTAAACATCCAAAAGTTATTCTGAGGTCAAAAGAACTTAATTTAGAATTTGATTTTGGGGAAAACTTGTCAAAGATCGCAGAAGCTTAAGTATTTGACTTAACTGTCGGTAGAAAATGAAAGTCAAATGTTTCAAGCACCTTAAGAATGAAAAAGGGTTAACTTGGTATTTGTTGCCATTAAAACAGATTACATGGTAGACTGCAGTAGTCAGATACGACTTTCAGAGATAAACAAAACAACCAAAAGACCAATATACAGATTATATATTATTATTATTATTATAAGAGATGTACTTCTTACTGTTTTTAGCCAGTAGTCCTATAACTGAACCACAGGAGAATTAAAAATTGAACTTTAGGAAAATCAGTCTTATTAAACAAGCACTTAAACTTCTTCTTTTTTTTTTTTTTTTTTTTTTTAGCTATTATGTTTTGATTATCTATGCAAACAAAATATTAAAGAAGTCTAGTTACTAATTCATTTTCCCTGTTGGTCAGATATCTGCCATGTAACATAATGTGTAACATAGATATTAGCTGCTTTATTGAACCACCTGTAATAAATTAAACATAATGTTGCCTGATAGTAAAACTTTGGATAAAATATATGTTATAAATTGTGAAGATGTTCACTTGTTATTGAAGCTGACTTATTTGTCAGTGATTTTAAGTCACATGAACTAGAGGAGTATTTGAATTAATTTGTATGAGCGCTTTTTTAGGAACCAAATTGAATGGAATTTGGCCTTTTATCACACAGACATACAACATATAGTATGTAATATGACATATTACATGTATGCACACACATGTGTGTCCAAAAAAAGATCTCAAAACAATCTCCTAAGTCAGTTCAGTTTTACGAGAAAATGCTTGCGATAAAACAGTGTTTTTAAAGAGAATTTCCAATGGGAGTGCCTTTGAGTTGATTTAAAATGCTAAATCAGAAAAATAAAATAAAGACCAAAAACTATCTTGCAAATCTTATGATCTTTATGTTTATGAAGACCTTTCCTATCTGCAGGAATATTGTTAAAAGACCATACTCCATGGAGATGCTTTGTATAAAAATCCGGTTCCAATATGGGTCATTAAATGGCAAGGGAGTTACAAAGATCTGTTGAAACAATGCATGGCATCTCACATGGCTTTGTAGCTGCATTTTGAACGCCTGTTCTCCTAAGCTGTCTGCAGTAGTTTCACGCTTTCACCAACAGACAGCAATTCATTGGTCAGTATATAATGGGTGCCCAGTGCTTGATCTGACAGTGAGAGCCAGCGCACTTGGAATGGGCGTAGGTGAGACTCCTTTGGGAAAAACAGATGCAAGTAGCACAGGCAGATTGTTAACATGATCAGGGGAGTGACAACCAGTCTACTAGGGGAATAAGAAGGCAGCAACATTCGCACGTCCTTGGCGTTTGTGCCCAAGCAGGAGGTTACGTTGACTTAGAGGCCTGCCATTGTTCGTAAGCAGAAGTATCACGCGTCCATTAGTGTTTATGCCTGACGTTTCCAGAACACCAGTCTCGGACATTTTCTTTCTTGTAAAACTGGAGTTCTAAAAGCGATATATCAGAAATTGTTGATCTGTATAGTTACGTAAGTAATAGATATTTGTTATTTTCCCAGTTATTTCCCCTTTCTTGAAATTTTTTGAGTAGAGCTTGGGCAATATAACGTAACGGGGTATTAGGACTAAATCCCAATATCCTAAATCCTAAATCCTCCTTAGTGGAGGCTCTGAAGACTCACAGACTATTTCAGAGGGAAGCTACAGGTGGGAACTGTGGAAGGCAAAAAGGGACTTCTAGTAAGATTAGTACATTGAAGGCTTTTTAATAAATTAAGGAATATTACTAACATGTTTTGGAAGGAGTTCGGAGGGTGCCCATCCCTGTATAAAGAGAGGCACGCAGTCGGGCTTGATTACTGTAAAGCAGACAGGTGGGATTGGAGAAGTTCCTGAAAAGCAAGACTAGCTTCTTCACAGGGCCCTCACAGGCCGGGTACTTGTTCAGTGTCTGTCCCACCACCTTGAAACTGAGTGACAGAACTGAAATGGGACAAAGTAAACAGACGAGTAGACAGTTAGCTGTTTTTATTGTAATAGCATTGAAAGATAATTATTTATTATTTTACTAGACTGGCGAATGAGGTGCCATAGGAAAGGACGTTAAGGCCGTTGTAACTTCGTGTGTAGAACTTGACATATTAACCAGGATACTTCATTTTTAGCAGTTTTAGCTTTTAGTACATATCAGCAGCTTATGAATATGTGGCTTAATAGACAAGTAAAAAAAATTTGTTTTTTCAATGTCCCGGAAAAGTCTGATATAATCAGCCACTGTCCCCCTTCTTTTTTTTTTTTTTTTTAATGGTAAAAGCTGCTCTGCACAAGATATAATCAGCCACTGTCCCCCTTCTTTTTTTCTTTTTAATGGTAAAAGCTGCTCTGCAAGAAGCACTAAGCATTTTTAAAGGCCGATTGTTTTAACAGAATTTGTCCTGCCTCCTGATCAGAGACCAGTCGCAATATGGCTTGTGTCAAGTGGGGAATGAAATCTTGATATAACTCACTAGGTCCCTGTCGTACACTGGGCAAACGTCCTGTCCCTCGATCCTGACCGGAAAGCCTTTTCCAGCCTCTGAAGCATGTAATGCTGATCCGCTGATAGGCCTGTGGAGTGTATCCAATCTGAGCGCCAGGACTGGCCTGCTCTTTGTTCCAGTCAACATTGCGAATGTGATAGGTATTCTGTGGTGTTGACTCCTATTCACCTGCTCTTGGGCTTCCTCAGGAGCAGCCAGATTTCCACAAAAGAAAATCTCCCGATAAGCACAGCTTGCCCAGCACCTGCCAGTCCCTGGGGTGAACGCAGATTGCGTGGCCGGCTCCAGGACCGCAGTCGTATACGGTGCCGGGGGCCATACTGCGTACACGCCGCTTCAAATTCTTGCAGTTTTAAAGGATGTTGGCTCATGCAGACACTGGTTTTGTCCGGGATTGTTAGGATCAGTAGTCTCTATAACTGAGTATGATTTTAAATCATGAAGTGTCCTCTCCCCTGCAGTGCAGTGCAGAGCTCTGTGCAGGGGGTCAAAGTGGGAGCTGTGCTTTCTGTCCTAGCGCCATTCGATACGCAAGTAGCTTTAGACTGGGGAGCAGTGGGCCCAAGGGCCGCGGTGTCTCCTCCTCCCGTCCTGGAACTGCTGTGGAATCTGCAATCCTGAATCTCTCTAACCTCTGATCTGTTCCCCGACCCTGTCCCAGGTCTCATAAACTGTTCCTCGCTCTGGGAACCAAGGGCATGTTTCCTGCACAGAATTCAGGAACCGATGTAACTGCTTGGTACTAACTTTATCGCCCTTAGCTTTAAACGTGTAAGACAGCACTGGAACATACATCTCTCCTTAGACAACTGTGTCCCCATGTTTTACACCCGACCATGATCAAATCCACTCCTTCTCTTGCTCTGTTATCTCCTTATTTTTCTCTGGTGTCTCTTTCTTCTGTTCCGACGGGCTCTCGTGAAGAATGGACATATACACAATATGTCCAAATAATTCATTGGCACTTTGTTTCATTCTAGAATTGCCAGTACATAGTAACGTTGGTCACTTTTTAGTCTACCCTAAACCATACCCACATTTAGACAGAAGACATGATTGGCGTCAGACTGGCCAAAAGGTTGGGGAGAATGTGTCACTGCTAGCCACATCTTCCCTTTGTGTCCCTTTGCAGATTTGCTGTGATGGCCTGTTGCTGGGCCTTAGATCCAGAGGAGAGGCCCAAGTTCCAGCAGCTGGTACAATGTCTCACGGAGTTCCATGCCGCCCTGGGAGCCTACGTCTGACTCCTCCCTCGTAGGCACAGCCTCAGGAGGAAGCCCGTCGGGCTCCCTGGCAGCCTGTGGGGACCCTCGGAGGGGAGCACAACGCCGGCAGGAGCACGCCTGTCTTCCAGCACCCTGTGGGGACCCTCGGAGGGGAGCGCAACGCCGGCAGCCCTCGGAGGGGAGCGCAGCGCCGGCAGGAGCACGCCTGTCTTCCAGCACCCTGTGGGGACCCTCGGAGGGGAGCGCAGCGCCGGCAGGAGCACGCTGTCTTCCAGCACCCTGTGCCTTAGCCACGCTTCAGCATCGGGACTTGTAAAGCAGACTTGATAACGTGGACTGTTTTCTAGGTATCATTTCTGTTAGGTTGAACAGAAAGGGTTTTTGTAAAGTTTTTGGCCAAAAGAAGTTTTTTAAACATAGTTATTTTGGATTAGGGGTGCATTCTTACAAAATAAACAGTTTTTAAATTGTTTAGACACAGATACTCGGAGTAGCCGTCTTACTGCCGACTGCTTTTATTTTTTACTTCTTGAAGGTGATGTAGGTGACTCACCTTTAAAGTTTTTTTTAAGTGTTATTTTTATCACTACTCTTGGAAATGGTTTGTCTTCAGATGCAATGCTTTTCTTAGGAAAGGAAAAACAGTATCGAAAAAAAATCTGGTTTGCCTTATAAGAGAAGAGACAATATTGGAGGAAGAAAGCTTCAAGAAAAGCTAGAGAAAAATAAAAGTCTTGAATTTTTTTTTTTTTTTTGAATGAAACGGAGTTCTGTTTTATTTCCAGAGAGCAGGGACG